CAGCTGCCTCCCCGGGGCCGGCACAGTGGTCTGGGCAGCTGCCTGGGGGTTCCGGGTCCAGGATGATTTCCAGCAGGGGCGGACCCCGGTGCTGGCCGGCCTGGACAGCCAGATCCTCGCCTTCTCAGTGAAAAACTTGTTAGAATTTGTGGAAGTGCTCACGGACCCGAAGGCGGGAGCAGCCAGGAGAGGCGGCGCCCCGCAGGGAGCTTGCGCCCGCCTCGTGCCGGGGTGACCTGGCCTCTTGTCCCGCGCACGAGCCCGGCGTGGACTCTGCGGGCAGCTCGCTCCTGCACGCTCGCCGGGTGGGGCTGGACCCCGGGGCTCGGCCGCCCCCACCCCGACTGGCCACGCTGCCCGTGGGGTGTGGACACGGAGCCGTGACTGCTCCAGACTCATTTCTCATCGCAGGGAAGAGAGAAGCCTCAGAGCTAATTGCATTTCGCTGGTTTCTGAGAATTTGGTCCCTCCCAGACTTCAGTTTTTACTTTGCTCTTTCTAAAAGCTTTGTTTGCTTTTTGTTTTTTTTTAAAGATTTACTTGCGTGCACACACAGAAATGGCCAGGCCAGAGGGGCAGGGGAGAGAGGACTCCCCGGGAACGGAGTGGGGGGCAGAACAGGCGGGTGGACGGATGAAGTCCACTGCTGGGGGGGCGCGGGGGACAGGAGGGGTCTGCTGCCCTGTGGCCAGCTCGGGGCGGGGCGGGGCTGAAGCGGCTGCCGCCCAGCCAGGCTCCGCCCCGCTGGCCGCAGGGGCCCATTATTTTTAACTGGAGATTTGATTGTGCGCTCAGGACCTGAGCGCCGGCTGGGGGGGACTGGCCGGGCGGCCGGCCTGGGCTGCCCAGTGCAGGCGCTTCTGCAGACGGCCACACGGGCGGGCAGTGTCCGCGTGCGGGGCCCTGCTGGCCGCCCGCCGGGTGTGGCTGGGAAGAGCAGCCCAGCGGCCGGCCAGCCAGAGCCGCAGCTGCTTGCAGAAGGGGCTCCTGGCTGAAGCCGAGAGGCAGCGGGCCCCCGGGCCGGCGCGGGGCCCAGTGCTGGCCTAGACTGCAGGCTTGAGGCCGCCTGACCCGCCCCGGGGCGCTGTGCTGCTGCAGCCCTGTGGCTGGCGTCAGGCCAGAGGGGCGGGTGGGGTCTGGCCGCGTCCCTGGGACCCTCCTCTCCGGCCCCACAGGCTGCGGCAGCTCCAGGCCTCTCGGCCTCAGCTTCTGGGGC